GGGAGTGACTCCAGGCCCATGCTATCTTCACAGCCCAGCTGGCTCGGCCCAGACCAGTTACCATGCAAAATTGCAGCAGTATAGACACAGTCACTTGCCATTAGCCTAGCCCGTGCCTTGGTCCAGTTCATAAATGCAGCCAAGGGTATTTAGGTACATAACTGCTGTTTCTAGGAACTTAATTCCATAAGGCAGGTCCTCCTTCACTGGGAATCAGAGGTATTTATATCTCCATGGAAACCTCCTTTCTCCTTATCTTGACATTATTTGAACAAAGCCAGTCATGTCCTGATGCCATCCTCTGCTCTGAGCCTCAGCTGCAGCAGAGTTGATAAAGTGAATGTTCCTCTGTCTGTCTTGATGTCAGGACCCAGTCTCGCATTTGGTCTGTGTGGGAAGCCAGGCAGCAGAAGATGCGGTCAATAGCCCATTGCTAGAACATTCACGTGCAGTGTGGGCTACCTGAATGCCTCCATCTGTCTGATTTGTTGCAGAGATTCGAACGCAAGTGTCCTAAGTCGCAAGGCAGTATTTAAAATAATTAGAGCAGAAAATTCTCTGAGGGGTCCTTTGTAAGTGTGTCTTGTTCCAGATACGTATCTGCTCTGCATAGAATGGCTGACTACTTTTAAGAACAGACAGCATAAATGAGAAATACATGATAACCTAATGGTTACAACAGTCCCCAAAGGAACTGGGTTTCAGCTCATGTTCTATTGAGTTTTTAAATATTTTATGTGAAGGGGAACAGTTTCAAAAGATATGGCTGCTGTTTGAAAAAAAAGTGTTAGAATATGCAGTACTTTCAGGCTCAAGACAGTGACCTAAAAAAGAGCTCTCTAGAACCAAACCTCTTCCCCAAATCAGAATTAGTTGAATTTGCTTCTCTCGCATCATTCCCAAACGGATTAGCACCAAGACTGCTTGACATAAAGATTAGGATTTGTACTGAAGCCTGTTCTTCATCATACCCTGCAACCAGGTGAAGTGGGCCAGCATGATGACTTCTGTGGTCTCCCCTTTGGATTTATTGCATCATCCCATAATATGCCATTTCCCTCACGTATTGTCCTATGTGCTTATTCACCGGTATTAATTGTATTTGTAACGGGGTCAGAGAAACCTTTTGAAAATAAATTCTTCTTGTGATTGCTTGTTTGGTTTTGCATCTGTACATTTCTTTAAGATAATAACCTGTGGCAAGGACTCTCCAGAATTGCAGGGCAATCAGATTTTGTGTTGGGTCTAGGACAAATTATTCTAAATGTGCTTATTAGGTGCCATTACCCCAGAAGGTGTAAACCCACAGTCAGGCAGCTGATGGTACCTCTCAGAGAGCCCACAGAAACAGCAACAGAAAATCTACCAGCAGCATTATTAGTAAGAATAACATTATACTGTCCAGAGTACTCTACGTGTGCAAGCCTAAAAACTTCACGGATGAGCTGTAGGAATGGAAAAGGCACCTCAGTGCTGAGCACGAACATGTTAGTTGGAGGCAATAGGCAATGGGGCAAATATTCCTTTTGCTAGTTTCATTATGGAAAACCTAACTACAAACATACTCTGTGCCATGGGTTCAATAACTCAGTCCCTCAGGCTGTAACCTCCAAGTTAACTGTGTGCATTATCAAGACCTCCATATTTTGTTCTTCAGAGCAGGTCTTGGACCATTCTCCAGAAGACTGCCTAAGGCACTCCTTTCTCTGTGAAAATGTCCATCACTGCTCCCCTACTACTACAGCAGCATTTTCAGAGTCTCAGTTTATAGTTCTCTGAGTCCAATCCTTCTTCTGCTTCGTCTTCTCTGCCAAGATATGGCGGGGAAAAAAAAAAGGGTGAAAATCTCTATGAGTCTGCTTCCAGGTCAGGATGAAAAAGACTGAAATATTTAATTCTGATGGAATTAAAAATTTTCACTTTGAAAATGTAAAAAATGTTTCAGCACTGCAGAATGAAGATTTTAAGGTTTGGCATTTTCTGTTTTTTTGTTTTGTTTGTTTTGTTTTGTTTATTTGTTTGGGTTTTTTGTTATTGTTTTTTTTTTGTTTTTCCTTCTGTTATTTCACTGAAAAAAATAGAAATTGCTGAGCTCTGATTTAACCATGAGTATACATTTTTTTAATTTTTCAGAACTGGAAACATCTGAGTTCAAAAGAAAAGAATCTCAGATTACTTAAATATTAAGGAATCACATTTTGAATTAGATTCAGAAGAGTTTATTTTTCTTAGAATAACAGAATCATTGAGGTTGGAAGGGACCTCTGAACATCTAGTCCAAACCTCCTGCTCAAGCAGGGTCAAATGCAGGCTGTCTTCCAGAACTGTGTCCAACTGGATTTTGAATCTATCCAATGATGGAGGCACCAAAACCCCTCTGGGCAACCTCTTCCCTTGTTGGACCACCGTCACATTAAAAAAGTTTTTTCTGACCTTTAAATGGAATTTCTTGTACTTCAGTTTCTACCTCTTGTCCTGTCACTGGATACCACTGAGGAGTCTGTCCCTGCCTTATCCACTGCCCTCCCATCAGGTGTTTACACACGGGTATGCGTGTTGGTACGCCCCTGAGCCTTCTCTCCTCCAGGCTGAGCAATCCCAGCACTCTCAGTCTCTCCTCGTAGTACAGATGCACCAGTCCATTAATCACATCTGTGGCACTTTGCAGGAGCCGCATATGCCCATGTCCCTCTTGTCCTCAGGAGCCCAGCACTGGACACCACTCCAGATGTGGCCTCACCAGTGCTAGAGGGGAAACCCCAGTACTTTCCTCTGCAGTCTTCATATGATCTTCCCAGTGAGATGACTGAAGAGCTGACTGTGCAAGAAGAGAGACTATCACCCTGGAAGTGTCATGCTTCTATCTGTGGTCCCACATAAATTTTGTGCACATAAATAAATCAAATTATGAATAAAGGCCGCCAAACATTAGGTCAGAGATTTACATTTACATTTTTTGTAAATGCCTCGGAAGCATATGTATAAGTTAAAATAGATTACCTAGAACTAATCAATGGTAAAGCAATGATAATTGAAAACCAGCAATAAAATCTTTTCTGCTGTTCATCACAGCTGAATCAACACAGTGTACAAACAGAGCAATACTGATAATAGGTTATTTCTACACAGCTTTCAAGAGGCCAGGCAAGGGAACCCCATAAATCTGATGCGCTTCATGATTCTGTCTATGCCCTTTGTATGCTCATAGCCCCACAACCTACCTCTCACTCCCTGGTTGTCAGCTGCTGTGATTCAGTGCAGCGTGTTCACTGTGCACAGGGCCACTCTGAACACAGCCCCTGTACCTGTGTTAGTGTCATCAAGACAGATGAGCTAAGTGAGGCATGAAATATACAGGGATTTGTGTTTCTTATTATCCTACCTCTGTTAACCTCCACCCTTGAAGCGTCCTCAGGATCTCGAAGAAGAGAGTCATAAATTTTGTAAATTAGCTAAATTTTTACACCAGCCCCTCCTGATCTTTGTTGTTCTTTTTCTACCCCTGGAATTTGTCCTCCTGAAATTGTCTCCTGAAATTCTTTTATTATGCCTTACTTGATAAAATATAGAGCAGAATATCCATCCACCCACTTCCATGGACCTCCATAGTTCCCATGTCACCACATACTTTCCACCCTACTTTTATGGTCAGGGAGTGTCCTATGTCTGTGACCTTTGGTAGATCTCTTGAGCTTCTTGGATACTGGAAAAAGAAAGAAATGTGAGGGCTAAGAGTCAGGGTCATGCTCTACTTCTAAAAATGCAGAAGGCAAGTTGGAGATGAGTTTGGAGAGATACAGACAAGCCCGGCCACCATCACCTCCTCCTTTGCTGATAGAAGAGGTGAAGTGGGACCAGAGTGTGGGAACTGTAGCTCTTGCTGGACTGTGACAGTGCACAATTGTAGCAGTGCATGATTTAATACATCCCCAAACCCTCCTGAGTCAGCAACAGCAACTGGAGAAAGGGTAATGCAGACACTACTTGAAACAGGATTTTGGGGTGGCAGGATGGGGATGTGCACTCTGTAACAGCTGATACTCATTCCTCCAGGCACAGGCAAAATGTACGTTTCCTCTTGCAGGCCTTCACCTAGACTGCCTTCTGCTGCTATTTGTGTCAACAACATATAAATGACTTTAAAACTCTAATCACATTAAAGCTCGTCTGTGGCGGCGGCGACACATGGCTGCTAGCCTTGCAGTTTTGGTAGAGCACACGGTCTCTGCTGCTCCACGCTAGTCACCGGGGAAGCAGCAAGGCAGGAAGGCAGACATCACTGGTGACAGGGCAGAGACAATAGCATGTGTGCTCGGTAGATTAAAGTTGATCCTCGTGCTGCCCCTTGACCAGCCTGGGTCTTGTGAGCCACATACATACTCCTTATCTTACGTTTTGTGATATGCTTAATACCTACGAGGTGAAGAGAGGAAATGTGCTGGTTTGGGGACCTGCATATCTGCTTTGACAAGATAGACCATGGCTTTCACAGAATAAAACTTTCTTAAACTGTATAAAAATGCTTCTTATGTAACTTTCTTAAGTAACTTGTAACTTTCTTAAGTAATAATAAGTAATGAAATACCTTTAAAACCTTTTAGTCCATAAAGTAGAGGCTTGATTGATTTACCTTTGTACCACTAACTAGTACGTGCTCTTTATTTTTACTCTGCATACAAGGAAAATATGACCTGACAGCCTGTGTGTCTTTGTCATTGAGTCCAAGTGCACACACAAGAGACAGGCTTGAAACTGAACTGGAAAAGTAATATTTATGCATATTTTTTTAATGTCAGCTTCTCCCTTATTTTTAATATTAAAAAAATTAAAAATCAGAATATTCTTGGACTACTTTATATTTGTTATCATTGCCAAACTTGGGCAGTGCAGTTGTTCTGTAGGATAGCAGCCCAAGGGCATATCCAAATGGCCAGACATTTGTAGGCTCATGCCATCCTCACGTGAGTGAGGGATCTGAACCAGAGCTGACATCCCTCAGGATGGGGTTAGCGTCACCATTACCACGGGACTGCGCCTGCCCTCCTACGTCCTCTCTTACTCTGTTACGTGGCAGTACCTTACCCCGCACTGTGAATTCCTGTCCCTGCGCCCGGCACCTCACTTCTACACAGGACCAAGGTGAGTATCTCAGTGCCTCAGTTCAGGATGTGCCCCTCGACACCTGTGCACCTTTTTAGTTTGGTCTCTGTGCCTCATCTACCTGGAATACAAGGTATGAATTTAAGCTTTTATGTGCTTTGGAAATGAGAACAGAAACAGACATTCTGGCAACAGGTCGGATCAAAGAAAAGAAGGCAATATTGTACCCACACCTTTGTTATATCACTCTGAATATTATTTACAATTTGTATATTATGACAGGTTTTCAAACAAAACTAAGTTCAAACCATCTTCTCTTGGCAAAACATATTATTGTTGTGCTTCAATTGAATTGTTTTGTGTAACCATATCCCTTAAGCATTCATAGACATTAACAACATTATAATTTTAATGGTGAGTTCTAGGTAATAGATGCAAGGCAGAAGACGCTATTGGATGTAATAGAATCATTCAGGTCCTGGCTGACGAATACCCAGAATTTAAAAACTGTGTCTGCACTACAGAGGATTTCTGTAGCATCATGACTTTGCTTGGGAAACAGTGTGGCATTAATAAAGGTAACTAAATATAAACTTTTAATTATGAAGAGCAAAAAGAAATATATAATTTTGTAACCCTAATTTTAACTGGATTCAAGTTTCTTTGCATATTTCTTAAACCTGATAATTCCCCCCAAAAATTAGTTTTGTCTTTTCTATGATATTCATGCTCCAACATGCATAAGAAAGCAATGCCAATAACAAACAAAACCAATAAAATGCATGTGAGACATTCAAATGGTTTCTAAAGCTCTTGCTCAATCCAGTGGAAAGCAAGAGTGAAAATACAATGTGTGTTGAGGGCTCCTTGTTGCCCAAGGAGGCTTGAGGGCCACTGGATCTGTGTAATGTATAAAGAACCACATCCAGACACCTCGTGATTGGGAGTGTGAGTGAATGGGGATGCACAGCTGTGCAGTTGTGTCACATTGTGCTACAGGAGTATCTTCCCTACATCTAGGAGAGGTTACTGGATGTGGGAAACATAGTTACTATCTTCACAAAATTGTACATAATATATATAAAATGCATCCTTTTTAAAATTTGATTGTAATCAATGGGCACAGGTCCTTTAAATTTATTTTTTTAATGATCCTGAGAACTCTTTTCCCTTCATAAAACCTGTCTCTATAATTGAGAATTACTTGGTGCATGAAAGGCTTGCAGTTCCTGATCCAATGTCTCCTGGAGTAACGATTAGCAGACATGACATACAAGAGGTAAAATCAGCCAGTGAGAGACTGGAAAGTGAGCCCCAAGGTTGATGCATGACACGGATCCATCACCCCCTGCCAGCATCAATCAGCGTACATCATATAGTAGTAGAATATATGGCTTCATTGCTGTGGAAATACCAACATCCTGATCTGTTACTCCTTGCCCCAAACAAAAAGAGTGGGTATCTAAAACCCGACGTCGATGTCATTGGAACAGTTGCTTTTGCTTCTAGAAAAATGAAGTAATTTTCTATTTTTTGCTGATTGAGATTACCTTTCTCACCAATATGTCAAAAAGTTTGTATGGAGTTACACTAGTATCGGTTTTACCCACAGATGATAGCTTATGGCGTTCATTGATACTTTCTTGAGTATCAATGAACTCCTGTCTCCCTGTCTAACTTAAATGACTATTTTAGGTAATGAAAGAACCACCTTCTGGAGTTGCCATTCTGTCTTTACAAATTATGCATTGAATTAAGATGATAATCCAGGATATTTCCAATCTGTAGGTGGTTAAAATTATGTGAGATGAATCCCTTCATGCAGTAATTTTAGTGAGGGTTTCTTGTATTGCTGATAGCAGCTGAATTGTTAAAGTAGACTGTATCATACAGCTACCAGGACACAGTAAGCATGAAGAAGATTCATTAGTCTGCAAGACTCTGAAATTATTATGTGTTTACATACAGCTCAGAATGAAACTAGGGCTGTTTCATTCTTTTTATTGCATTAAGACAATTATCCTTTTCCTGAAGTTGTTCTGAGCTGACCAGTGATGATGCTCTATCTTCCACTTGATTTATATCTTTGTTTGTACCTATTTGTACAGAATCTTTGGAAACTTCCTCAAGATCAGGTACTGAACTGAGTTTTAGGGAACACAAAAACCCCGAAGACCAAAGACACTCAGAAGAATTAGAGAACAACTGCAGTACTGCAAAACAACGCTGTCGAGAGGACCCTTACTGCTTTTTAGTGTTTAAGAGCTTCCAGCGAGCATGCCAGGCAGACGCAGCAAAATGCAGGCTCCCGACGGTCAACCAGGAGTGTTTGTCAGCGTGGAAAGAGCTGAGGAAAACAGTGCTGGGAGACTGCAAGTGCTCAGAACCACTTCAGATGAGATGCGTTAAAATATGGAAGGGAATATTTAACAACCCTTGTTTACAATATTCTCGAGAGAGCCAAGCTTCAGCAGCTAGTGAAAATGATGATGACAAAGATGATGATGTTGATGATGAGAAAAATCAGGACACCGACACAGGTTAGTGGTATACCAGCAGTCTGAGTGCTTTCATACATAGCAGTAGTGTGCACAAGGCTGTGGAAAAGGTTTTCTTAATCATTTGCAGTTTAGCATTGGACACAGGATAGTTTTAAGAGGCTTATTTAGATGTGAATGAAAAATCTGATAGCAAAATGGTAGCCTGAGTGCAAATGCTGTTGTTCTTCAACGTGCTCATTTGACACAACCTGATCCAACTCAGTCTCTTTTACACAATAACTAGAAAAAATATAATAATAATAATTTTCTAATAGCAAGAACTGCCTGCCTGCCTTGACTTCAGATCATGACAAGCAGTTAGTTGAGCTTGAAAACTGTGTGCATGGATGAACACATTAAGGCCGCTGGCCTTTACTTATTCACAAGAAATCTGACTTTATGCTATGCTGAGCAGCTCTAAAAACTTGTGCTCTTCTTGAGCTCACAGGATCTAAAATTATGTAGACAGTGTTACCAGCAGCCATCAATAAACCGTACTTTCACCCCAAAACTTATGAACATATGTAACAGGGATTTTAAAGTTTGTTAACAAGCTGACAGATCCTATTTGGTCAAGCTAATTTGTTTTATTCTTGTTTATTTTTACTACTGGTATTATGCCAGCAACATAGCCAATACTTTAAACTTAAAAACTAAGCTAAGGCATGATTTATCACTTATGCCTGTATCTGTATCTTTTTGTTCCAGACAATATTAGTTCAGAAACAAAATTACAATGGAGTTTATCTGCTCTCTCCAAACAAGGTAAGTCTGAATTTATTTATGAATCCTAATAATGAGTTTTAGCTCTGTTTTCAGGTAGTGTACAATGTATCTCAGATTAAAATTAATACTTTTCATCCAAATTAGGGAGTCAATAGACCCAACATATTTTCAGTTAAGCTAATGAGTAGATAAGAATCCAAAAACGTCAAATATCAATCCTGACCCTGTTAAATTTACAGAGGCAAGTCTTATCCCATAAACATTTTAGGGTCAGAATTATCTAGATCCTTTTGGAAGGTTTATAGCTTAGGCTGGAAACACCTAAAGTAGCTTTAAAATCACAGAAACGCAACCAATATTCTCTTCTCCATTGTTTATTATGTAGCCTAGCATAAGACTGCATGCTGGAGATTTCAGCAGTTTTAGGTATCCACTAGCCACTAGCTTCCAGAAACTGTTGCATACCATGAAGAAGCTTCCATCTTGCCAGTTTTCACTTTCCTCTCCCTTATTTACCTGGCAGGGACAGAAACTTGCAGCAAGGTTGCTTATGGGGGCCAAGCAGTGGAAGGGAGAAGTATGAAGATCACGCAATGGGCTTCTGAGAGGCAATGCTGGGAGAGCTGGATCAGAGGTTTTGGGACTCGAACTTGTTTTTAATGGGAATGTTGCAGGCAGGATGACTACCAATGATCTCTTGAGAAAGGTTCTCTTGTGATTTCATTTTAAAAAGTGTTATTCTTTTTAGCATACACAGCAAACAGAACCTGTTTGGATGTGAACAAGGAGTGTGTTGAAGATGAAGTGTGTAACAAACAGTTGTCCATGTACCTTAAGGTTTGCTCAGTGAATAAGAAGTGCAACATGGAAGAATGTCAAGCAGCCATAAGGTTCTTCTATCAAAACATGCCTTTTGAAGTTGCCCAAATGATGACATTTTGTGATTGTATCCAGCGTGATGAATCCTGCCACAGAGCCAAAGAACTTCTCCACGGCAAGCCCTGTGCGGTTACTGCAGTTCCGCCCCCATCATGCCTGAATGTAATCCACATGTGTGAAGAGGATGAATTGTGCAGGTAAGTAGAAGAAAGATTTTGCCCAGTAAGGTGCTTTTGAATAATGATTTGATCAAACAATTTTTATACATAAGCCATACATTTCATCTATAACAAAATTATTTTCTGCACTGTATCTACTGTATATCATCACTTGTGTTTGACATCTTCACAGATGTCTGCATCAACTGTGGTAATTCCACAAGTAAACTGAAAAGTTCATTTTCAGAAAGTTCTGGAATCTAGTGTGGGCTTTTCTTCTGCCTGTTTCATGACACTTAACACCATTTCTGCTGGACAAACTATGCTGTTGCATATTTTCATTACTGCTTTCTTCAGATAACACCTGCCAGTCTTCACCTTTGCCCTCTAGCAGTTTGCACAAATTTTGCAGCAGACCAGACAAAGTTTGTTTGGTGAAAGCAATTACCTCTTCCACGGCAGAGTCTGACCCTTTGTACCCAACAGCCATACAACCAACTTGGCCCGTTCAGAAAACTTTTGCCCTATTCTTTTCATCTCAAGCATACCAATACTTGAAAAAAGCTGCCCTGAAAGATGCACACACCACCAAACTCATGAAGAATAACACAGTTTTCAGATTTGATTTTATTTTTAGAAAACACAACAGGATTAGCTCATATTCGTAGTTCTACTTAATTGCCATCATTTGTGGATGGCCAGTTGGCTCACTTTGGTTTTCAGTGTTGTCACCAGTTCCCTCGTGGATTAGACCTGAATTTTACCTCCAAGCTGTCCTCAAATTAACCTTCAGTCAACAAACCAGGAGGCCAAGACAAGCGTTCAGTTCTGTGCAGGCTATTCAGATTGACGTCAGTGGGAATTGCCCCTTTTTATGTCAAGAAGAGTTGGGCTACAAATGTATGTCTGTGCATGTGCATGTGTACACATGTAATGTCATAATGGAGACTTGCTGAATTACCCATTATTTTGGGAACATTAATGTTTCCTGGCACTGACAATAAGTGGATATAATTAGCAAAATTAGTCTGTGAATTATGGCTAGCCATATCTATAAATCAGGAGGTGAATAAAAATAATTCCATTAGCGCAGAGGTGGCATCTGCTTTGAAACCTTTGCTTTTGTAATGAAAATATTTACAATAATGTCCTAGCCAGTATTGTAGCAGTCCATGCTTTTCCATGTGACTTGCTTGTAACAGCTACACATTATCAACAGAAAATTAATAATCTACTTTTATGAATAAGGAAATAATGTTTTAATATATTAATGTGCATCATACAACAGTTTACCTTTATCATCCCCTAACATTTAACGTGATAAATTGGTTTCTAATTAATATCTACAGATTTCCTAGTTAACTATTAATAGATGTTTTCTATTGTCATACATAGTGCATTAAAGGACAATTGTATTCCATCCTAAGAGCAAATAAACTGAAATCATTTGAGATTATTGAGCTGGGAAACAAGTTAATACTTCTCATAACTTACTTCTGCTATCAATTAATCTTTAAGGTCAACTGAGTTACTTCTAATTTTTCCTGAGACTTGGACATTTGGTATTTTGTTAGCATTCGGGGTAGGAGGAGTTGGCATTGGATGTAGATTATTTTATGTAAAATAAGTTGAATATTCATTCTTCCTTCACACTGCCTGACAAACTGATCCACTGGAGCAGCCCCTGGTGTGGTTTCATTGTGATGACCGGGCTAATTCCTCTGTTCGCATTTCTTCTCTGAGGAGCTGAGACTGTTGGCATTCACATTGATTTTTGCTGGACCCTGGGAAAATCTCCACTGGTGCTGATTAGAAATGCAGTTGCTTTTTCTCAAAAACTTTTGCAGTAAAACCAAGTGTTTCCTCAAATTACAATTTTGCAAATTTCACTCAAACCAATTGTGTGCAAATCAGAGCAGAATTTAGGTCAGCTATCACTGAATATTGTGATTTTTAAGGCTTAAGTGGTACCTTGGGAATACACTCTCTTTTTGTGATAAACCTTAAATGTCTTTTTGTGAAATCATTTTTAAACTGTCATTGTATACTTCTTTTTTTTTTCCCACCAGGAAAAAATACACAACTTTCCGGTCAAAGTGTTGGAGACATGTGACAAAAAAATGTTACGATGATGAAGCTTGTCTTGAAACTTTAATCAAGGATGACATGCCCTGTTCTGCAAACGCTGACTGCAAAGCAGCCTACATTAGCAACTGGGGCACGATGCTGCGCGTGGAGTGTACCTGCCAGAATTTGCCTCCCGTGGAACAGTCTTTGTGCGAGCTCTTCCATCACATGCTTCACAGCAAATCCTGCTTCAGTGAGTTACGTGAGTAACACACGTATTTTAAAGAATAGTTACCTTTAAAGAATATTAAAATGTTGATTTACAACAAATATTTACTATATCTTTGCTACTACTGATTTCAGCAAGATTTATATCTGTGGGTTTCTTTACTCCAAATCAAAATACAAATTGCATGTAGTTTTATCCTCTGGTTTGGGGAAATATTTATATTAGTAGTAAATCAATAAAATTGACTTCATGTCTCATTACATGAATTTTCTGGAATAATAATAAAAGAATAACTTCTGGGGTCTATACTGTTATGCAGATTAGAAAAGTCCAAAGCCTTTCTGTCATTGTTTCAATGTTCTTTGGTACACTGTTCTTACAAATAATATGACATATTATGTTGTTTTTTTCTTTTTTCTCTTCTTGGAGTCTAAATATTAGTATATCTCACACACATTTAGCAATAGGTTTCATTCCACAGAAAACAACTTCAATGATTCAAATAGGACCTCTCAAAAGAAAAATGGATGGAGGCTTCAGGATCTGGCCTCCATTAAAAACACTGGGGTTAACTGAGTTTATGCGTATGTACTTTCTCAGAACCAGTAAAGCCTTTCATGTGCTAAATCAGCTACTTGTAAAAGTCCTTGCCAAGTCTTTCTTTAAGAGAGAACAGTTAGTGCAATGAATGGCAATATGGGAGCAAATGTTAATATTTGAGTCTGAATCAGGAGTGTGCCTTTGAGGCAAATCCCCTGTTTGTGCCCACTTATTGTGCTGTGGGTCACATCACAGGGTGGTTCCACATCACAGGGTGGTTTCTGGACTCCTGCAGCCTGATGGTGAACCTGAAGGTTCATCTGCTGCCTCTGCAATGCTCCAGCTACTTCCAAGCATCTGGTCCATGGTCCAGATTAAAGACCAAAGTACCCTCTTTTCAAATCTCTGATCTATCACACCAGATATTTTGCTATAGAAATCCTCTTAGGGTATACTACTTGCTAGTGAATCATACCCTATGCCAGTCATCTTCCATATGTAATTATATATATATTCTCAACCTAGCTTGGGAGAGGTAACCATATCTAAAGATTTCAATGAAAAGCAATGGCTATTTTATAGTTCCATCTGATGGACTGGCTTTTAAAAACATGTATTAATTGCATGCATGCATTTCATTGAATGAATTAGCTCATTTTTTAGTTTTAGTGGCCAAAATGTTACCACTGATAAGGGTGTAATTTTTTTCTTGTCACTCAAAGTTTACCTGGAAATTAAAATCAAATTGCTGAAACACTGCCCTTAAGCTTAGTTAATCACTACTAAAATTCAGACTCGGAGAAAAGATTAAAAATAATATAACAACTCCCTTGGAAAAGTGATACCATAACACACTTAAATTTGAGACTACTGGCGGTGATTGTGCTGATGAATGTTATTTATTTGTTTGCTTGCTTTATGGCTGCATTTAATGGTCCAAATGAGTGATCACATCATTGTGTTAGTTATTCTTTACCTACCAAGCAAAAAGATGACCCTCATGTCATAATAATCAAATAATTGCTCACGAGCTTTTGCCATTCCCTGAAGCAGTCTCAGGATAAAATGGCATTTTTTGTTATGGAAACTTCCCTAACCTAATTGGGATTGAATAACAGGAGCTTGCTTGCTCCTGTGGTGCAACAAATTCCTGCTAGTTAAACCAAAACAGTTTGGGGATGCAGGGCCTTTGGCTGAGGAAAAGATTGGCACCTACTCTACAGAACATTTGCAGAGTCTTGTCATTCTTGCTATTGTTTTTTTCTAGACGTCTAGTTGCAATGCAGCTAGACTGAAGAGAGAGATGATTATGGGTTTGGTTGTAAGGCACGGTGTTAAATGCCATTATCTGCCCGGCAGCTCAGAGAGGTGGCGTGCTCTGCTGCAGACCTCATTCAACCCCTTCTGCTAACCCATTCACCTGGCCTGGGTGTGACCTTTGGATAACTTTCACTCTTACAGTGGTGATGACTTTTAACATTGAGGTCTTTCTGAATAGGCAAATACCCAGGGCTAGCAAAAAGGATTTTTGCCTCTAGAGCTGGTGTGAGCAGACCTGCCAGTGGTGTTTACACCATCACACCTTCCTACTCTTGCATGGCACTGCCTCCCTACATGTGTTTGCTCTTGGGGCTGTGTTTACAGGATTAAAGTTTGCTGCAGACCCAGTGAAAGGCAAGAGCTGCGAGTAACTGGTTGCTATATGAGACAGAAGCACAGTGTGGATCAATGCCGATATAGGATCAGTGTCACAACAGGAACAAGAAAATGCCAGTGACAGAAAGTAAAAAGTTACATTTCCAAAATATTTTAACTCTGGGTTGTACTTTTGGATCTCACAAGAGGACATTTACTCCATTGCTATTTAGACAATGTTCGAGGTTGCAAACATGAACCTTTGTTTGTCATGTTTGTCATGTTGTTTTCATTCCTCTAGGGAATAAAAATTTCTCAGCTTACGGTTAATGTGAGCGACCATGCATAGTCTTCTATGGTTTAGCCTCTTGCTCTGTAAACCATTCTATTTAGGTAAACCTTTTATTTTTCATTTCAACACAAGATACATAATTTCAGATACATTCATGAAATTACGCCCACTAAGATTTTTTGATTGAGGTCTAGCAATTCATTTGGAGAATAAACTCTGCCTTTTGGAAATGGCTTCAAACTACTACCCATTTCTCACCACTTCTATATTGGTTTAGTGGGCTCAATTCTTTCGGTGGGCCGATTTCTAAAATAGTTTATGTGAAAAGAGAATTTAAGCTGTTTTGAGGCAGAGAATATTTTTAAAGCACGCTTGTCCCCCATAAGACAAACTATAGGGGAGGTTTAACTGAGATGTCAAAGGAAGAAGTGTCATTCACTCATTCACTTTGTGCATCGAGTATCAGTAAACAATATTTTTAAATAGCTGCCTTTATAAATTCTGTGACTCTTATCAAAACACCAAACAGCAATATTCACTTAAATTACTCTTTTAAAGTAATTTTTTGAATGGGTATTTTCTTTCCAATGTTCAGGTCAAATTTCCATCAAGAAGAAAGGGTTTCATTGGGTAAATACGGAAATGCCAGGAGAAAAGCTTTCCAGAGCGCAGCTCCATTCTTCTTCAATTAACGGTGAGTTTGGGCAAACCATCCCATGATTTTAATAGAAGTACTCTTGAAATTTCCCTCGTGTATGATAGGGAAGACTAAAGGTTGGTCCCTTGGGTGGGTTCAGGCAAGTGAGCTCTACTGGTTGCTTCCCCATTCAAACATAATGTGGAAAAATCTCTCCACCTGTTTGGCTTAGCTTATATAACCACAAAATAAAGATAATGAGACTGAACCAATTTCTGTGATAAGTGGTTTTGAAATAGATGTCTCACAATCACTATATTATAATTGGGGAAAATTAAGCGATTAAGCCTGCCAGAGCCTGACTCTCTGTACAGTCATTAGAGAGTAGTAGTCATAATGTGTAATACAAATTATTAGCTTTGATGTCACACCTATTTCTCTCCTATCTCTCCTGACTTTTTGTGCCGTAGTAGTTACAACAACAAAATTAGGATGCCACAGCAAGTGGTCTGAGAAGGGGCTTGTGTTACACTCCATCAGACTTTACCTTCTCATGCAACAGAAGGGCATGCCATTGCCGATCATGTTATCCCATGGGCTGAAGAGCTGCATCTGGTTTTATTTCCATGCATTTACAGTAAGCAATTAGGTGACAAAGTTAAAGGATATTGAATTAATATACAAATATTCTCATGGCTGAAATAATATTAATTTTATATTTTTTGAAGGATCCAATTACAGAGTGAGAACACTAAAGAGCTTAATGCACAAATATCAACTCTAATGAGAATGACCTGTTCTACCTTGTATGGGGCAGATTACAATACTCTAGACATTACTATGAATTAGTTCCCAGAACTGTTCATACTGAACACCTTTAACAGTGAAAAAACAATTCAAGCTCTGCATGCAGTACAAAATGAAGGGGCTTCTATCATTTCCATCCTTCAACTATTGTCAAAGTGGGCAACCTGGGAAGTATAAAAATAGATTAATGGGAATGGGATTCCTGAGATCTGTGTGTGAATAATTAAGAATTCAGCTGTGATTTTAGCATTAAAATTACTTAAGAATCATGCATGTCATCCAAGTGCTCTCTGTAGCCAGAGAAGAAAGTCGGGGACCCCGAGAGGAAGATTAATCCCACCTTCTCAGACTTTCTTTGCTGGAAGTGTTGGCTTCCCTTTGCCAGCTACAGAGGGGGCCTAAATCTCTAGCTGGACCGAGACTCTAGTGGTTAAATAATGCAAGTCATAATGCAAGAAATCCTGCTCTAAGTGAGAAAATGTAAAATGTGAGAGATTTCACCCTTGTGACTCGTTCTAACTGCAGACCCTTTCAGAGGGTAAAATGTATTACACATTTCCCTCAGAGATTCAGATTAATGTTTGCAAAAAGCAGCCTGCACCCAGTTAATTCTGTTCCCATTGAAGTCTGAATACTTTCCAAAAACCTGTCCTTGAACTCTTAACAGAATTTTGGATGGCCTTAGAAAAATAAAAAGAATGCTGAGCAGCCTAAAACATACAATAAAATATTCTTTCTATTGGAGCTGTCATGTACACTAGATGGGAACTCTCCAAGCTATAAACGTCTCATAGGAAGCCAGGTCAAGGAGAAGAATCTGATTCAGGATATCTACCTGATGATAAAAACCATATTGCAAATTGTTTCATAAATCCCACTGCCAAAAATCTAACCCAGTATCCTAGATTCATATGCAAGTAAATGTGCATTACTCAGGCTGCAAAGGGAGTTATCATCTTTACAAAATATTTATCTTTACTGAAATCAAATCCCAAGAAGAATCCCAGGGTGCAGAGGCAAAACGGTTAAATTGTCAAATATGGTCTTTTGTGTGTGTGAAGATATTTGAAGATACTTGCTTCTTCGCTATTTTCTGCTTGGAAAGCAGGAGATAGATACAATTTGCCGATGTCTTGTCCTAACATCAAAATCTCAAAACAATCCTTTATTTAGCTTGTCATTCACCAAGGATTTCTTTCACCAACTCAGACTAATGACCGTCTACAGATGAACATGCTCAGAAGAAACTCAGTATTTCTTCAACTTTTTCTTAATTTTATAATTCAATAAAACACTGTTCAAAAACTAGTAAGATTTCTCCTTTCTATTCAGTGGCATTGCAAATCATGCCATTGGATAAGATTGGTTTTAATAAAAGGAGTCTTTCATAATAAATAATAAATCTAAACATATATTCATATATATTTGCATATATACATATATTCATATATATTTGCAAACAAATATAACCATATTCAGTTGGAAGAATATTATTGCAGCTTTTGGTGAAACCATAAGATAACAGGATTGTGTAAAAATCTTGACTAGAATTACACTCATTCACATACCTGGAAGGGTACAGGCCAACCCAGTCATCTGTGAGCTGATACCCTGTTAACAAAATGTGATGTGAGCAGAGTCCTAACCCTATAAAAGTTAATGAGACTTTTGCTGTAAGATGGGGCCAGAAATATCTGTCATTTTGGAAACAACATCACAAAGTGATAAATCAAGCAAAAATTCTCCAAACTTCAAAAATGTTGTTCTTGTCTACCTAGTTATGCACTTTCAGCCTGGTTTTGACTTTATCCTATGCAAATTACCTCCATGATTTTACAGATCCACATAATTTAAAAGATTGCTTCACACACTTTAATTTGAAAAATGATTCATGTGTGAAGATAAGCATTTACTTTCATCAGCATAGAGCTTTGGAGTTGAAGTATTTTTTGGCTGGAAGTGAAAGCCAGAAACACAGAATTCTTATCCTGTTCTTGTGAGATACAATAAAATTGGGCTTGACCCCAAAATGTCGAAATTAATCTCATTTTGTCTTAAATTGTACAGTTATCATATATTTCCTATTGAGGAGTTTTGCCATGCTGAGAATCTAGATAAACAAGTAATAGGCAGGGTTTATCTATAATTATACCAGCTGCTGTGGGAACTGAGATTAGTTCAGCTCCAGTGACTTTAATTTGTAAGGTATGAAACATTGTCAATCTGATTGTTTATAAATGTAGAAAAAAAGCCTGTGACAAGCTGCAGGTAGCCAAGAAACCTTTGAGCACCAGCCAGATTTAATCTGTCCAATGAATATTCACAGCCATTTCACTATGTATACATTAGCAGGTAGATTTACACAAGAGTGTAATCCCACTAATTGTTCCAGCTGCTGAGCCCACAGCTATCCTCTACGGAACTTCATCATTGGAAACGTCTGTGTGTCTATGTAGACAGCTCTAGCTGGTGCTTCAGTGGTACCTGCAGCCCCAGTTGTCGCGTCCCTGAGGTTTGCAGGTCATCCTACAAAGGGCAAGACATGCATCGTGTAGTCGCAGTGGCCCTGCTATAGACCTGCCCTGAGCTGAGAAGGTCCACGAGCTTCTCATGCCTAGAGGTCACCTCCATGGGACAGAGCAGCCCTTCTAGCACCTTGCGGCCCTTCCCCTTGCAATGGAAATGACTGCTCTCCACTTGTGTCAATTCACTCTCTCAAACATATGGAAACACCTCGTATTTTAGCCACCTCTAATTACAAGTCTTTAGACACCGTGTGTGCCTTTCTTTCTTCGTGGTACATGCAGATATTTGTATCCCTTTCTCCACCTAGCCAACCCAAACCCGAACCAGGTTTGCCCTTCTGCACCTCAGTCAGTTGAAGCGGAGTACTGAAATAGGGACAGCTGTTTCTTAGAAGAGTAATGACACAGGCACATTATGTACACTACGTTTTTTTACCGGGTCTGCTAAGAACTGGAAAATATTGTAACTTTTAATCATGTTTTTAATGCTTGTGACGGATCTATCTGCTCTGCAGAGCAGGTTGGATGGTTGGACTTGATGATCTTAGGGGTCTTTTTCAACCTAAATGATTCTGATTCCAGTGAACTGCGAATGGGCACACAGCATGAGAGCTAAGGCTGTTTACTGATCCATAACTACAAATGTGCCTAATGTCAGTCAGTGTTTTCATTGTTTGTTTAGGACATTGTTTTTTAAGCCTTAACTCGTTAGTTAGATCATGTTTGGATGATCAATACCATGTATACAGAGATCAGAATGGGATAATAAAGACCATTATGTCATACAGAAATTGATATGTGGATTCTGGTAGTTTTCATGGACAAGATTTGGGATGAACAGAGCCAAAATTTCATATCTATATTTCTTAACTTCCCTAGCACTATTTCACATTTCAAGAACTGATTGGATATGGATTAATAGTGAAAATTTCTATTAAAGATCTGTTGGATTTTTAAAGAAGAGCAGAGTGCCTATGAAGAAACACACACCCCAACATTTTTAAGGGAAGATGAATAAGCACATTCAAGTAGTTAAACCACAAAGAAGATAAAAAATTAAGAACTAGCTCTTCAGCCACAAAACTGGCCCTCTCCTAGCCATACAAATTCCGTCCCTTCTCAGTAGGTAGGAGAAAATATATGACTTCTAGCATGGTCTTATCATTAACATCTTTCTTGTGCTCCCCATAGAACTAAAAATGTTATAAGCAACATCTGTTTTACCAGCAATTACTTCATCAAAACCACAACGTTTTGTAAGATGTTGACAAAAAGTAGAACTTTTGATCTCATTTGATCATTTCAGATTTTTTTGTTTTAGCAAAATTAAACCTTTTCCAACTTTTTAAAGAAAAATATTACAATGTCTTGGTGAAATTATATTAGCCCATTTTTAACCATCCATGACTCTTGCTGCTAATAATTTTCCTAGTCTTGTGCTAAGTGATATATTTTAAAGACTTCTATTTGCCTTAAATATGTGTGAACCTCACTTTCCACTTCAAAAAAAGAAGGAAGCTTTTGCATGTACAACTGCTCCTACAGTTGTAGAAAGTTTAAAAAAAATGACTGAGTGTACCATTAAGATTCAGAAACTGCAAAAAAAGTCTAAAAATTATTCTTTTCCTAAAACTTATAATCTTACAGAAATGTTGTAACTTGAGAGCCAACTGCTGATCTATTTTTTAATGTATGATATTAGCAGTCCTGCACTAAGATAGACCTTGCCCCTCTTCATTCAAGAATTTGCCACATTAAATGTCTTTCAGTAGCTTGCTGCATTAAGTCATGTGTTCATTCTGTGCAATTTGTGATGGTTCATTCATTGCCTTCATTTCTTTTTACTGGAAAACTTGACTTTTGGATGGCTTTTCGAGAAAAAGAGAGCATCACCCTGCGATAAAAACCAGGCAGGTCCAACCGCCTGCTCAGCCCTTGCCCATTGCTCGTCTCGTTGTAGGATACATATTCACTCTGTCTTACTGGAGCTGCTCCAGTACCCATACCACCTCTGTTCACATCACACTATACGCTACTTCCGTTGCATACATATAATGTATACATAAATGTTTCATTTAGGGTCTGTGTGTGCATATGCACAAACACACAGAACATATAATAACTGATAACTGATTCAGAGACCAGAATTTGGCCTTGTCACAGTCCAGATAATTGGCCCAGTGATGGGGCCGGGACTCCATCTCTTCGTTGGTGAATGTTACACTGACTATGTAAGGTGGAGCAGCTTGGGAACAGTTAAGGCCCTCTGCATTTGAGTTCTTATACAAACAAAACTAATTTAATTGTATAAACATGACAGAATCAGTGAAACAGGAAAGCAACAGAAAGGTCTCATTCTTGCGGCTCTGGATTTGAGTCCTCTTGTCAAGTCATCTAACCTCCACACCTCTCCATCCCAGGTTCAGGGCTTACATTACATACTAAACTGAAACTTTTCCTTCAGAATATTTAATCAAAACTGATGGATTCATTCCTCCAGGAAAAATAAGTTTCTCCTCGTTTGGAAAACAAAAGTTGAAACAAATCCCAGTTTTTCAGCAGTTGGAATTTTTAGCACATAAACCATCTAAGTGACTTTTTGGTGAGAAGCCTAAGAGAAAGAGGAAACTCCATGGGCACAGGGCCCAGAAACACAGTGTTAGACCCCATTTTACAATAATTTGTTTCCAGATCAAGTATTGCTGCACATTACAATTATGGTAATATGCAAAAAAAGGAAAAGAGGTCTAACAGGTAAGTAAGAGCCAGGTCTCCTTTGATACACAGAATAAAATTAACACCTTAAAATCGATGGGAAGAATACTCCAAAACACAAATCACAGTACCAGGCTGTTCCCCTTGAGTAGAGTAAAAGGTATTGTTACACATACGAAGTGCTATTGGAGCTGGTATTTATTAAAAGGAGTCTGAAAATGATTTTGCACCAATTGGTGAAGGAAGAATTATTCCTACCATTGGCATACCATCTAGGTCCTTATCCTCCTTTTAATTACTTATGTCAGAATTGATAGCTAATTTAGCTTACATATGTATGCATTCCAATTCAGGTCTCAAATCTGATTCTTATTACTGTAAAGAAGTAAATGTTTCATGTCTGCTTTCTGTTTTTTACTTATAGGTGAAACAGTCTACATTATTGCCTATTCCTCCTGCATCGTTCTCATCCTAGGAATAGTCCTGCTGACTCTCCTAAAGATCAGGTAATTTAACAAGGATATTAATCATTGGTTCTAGGAAACTGGAAAAGCAGAAAAGAAAATCTTCTGCCTTAGTTAAGAGGTTGGCACTGCGATTGTCTTTAAAAACAGTCCAGCATGCCCCGGCGATGGAAAGAACTGACATCGCGGGTGTCAGCAGGGAGGAGTGAAATACGATGCGTATCTACAATGCCCTCCGTTCATGCAGAGATCCCAGGCTTCAGGAGGTTTCATTTCCTGTCCCATGGCAGGGGAAGGTGAAATCTGAATGCAAAAATTCTGCAAGGCTACCCTCCTAGCCCTGTAGCAGGCAGAGGTAATGCAGAAAGGAAATGAGAATATTCAGCATTATAACATATTTAGAAATGGAACCGTGAATGCTGCTATTGTAGTTAATATTCTTGCCAAATGCCACTTTTGCTGATAGGATTCTGTAAACATTTCCCCACACACAGTATGAGAAACTGCCCATACACCAATGCTTGGTAAGAAAGCAGAAATGTGCATTCACTTAGTCAAATGAACATGGCCCTTTCTTAAATGATACATTTTCTTGGACCAAATTAAATGGCCAGATTTCAAGAATTACACTGTCAGATGATAGGTAACAGAACATGATGTAGCAGGAGCTATATATAGTGGGAAGGATATTGAGTCAAATTTCATTATTAAATTCAGAGGCAGATCAAAGAGGAATGATGCAGAAAAATGCAAAAGGCAAGTCAAGGATATATGGGAACAGAGGCTTTCTCTTTAGGTTTGCAGTTACAGGAATATCAGCATATAAATAAAACTCAGATTTAAAGAATACAGGGGATGGAAGAAAGAACAGTACATTAATAACGGTGAAGGGAATTATTTTATACCACAGTGTTCATCATAAAAAGAGGGGAATTTTGCCACTGATTTCAATTAAGCCAAAGTTCAAACCAAAAGCTGTGTAGTTTATTGTTAAATACATCTACATTCTTTGTTTTCAGAGCCTGCAGAACAAAACATGAGTCAAGAAGTCCCTCGCCAGACCATTCTTCTGAAACATTTATGGTCCATTATAAAAGTCACAGATGAACTACTCTGTTGCTTATGCTTTTTAAGGCTATTCTTGAAAGCTAGCCTGTTGTACATATGCGATAATAAAATATATACTAGAAAAACTACTATAAATTATGGAATTTTGTAGTTGACCATACAAAAGATTTTTATATTTATTAACACATATTAAACCTTTCACAAGCTAAAAAAAAAGTAGAACTGTACTCTCTCTCATTTGCTTACATTCACAGATCTGCCCCGAGCTGCACATTTCCTACGTTTTTAGATGCACGTGACAATGGTATAAATGCTGTATCAGCATGAATCTGCCTAGCAGTGGCAATCTTTGAAATCCACCCCTCTGAGCTGAACTCATCTGGCAGAAAAGAAAAAAATCCACTCAGAAACATTTTAGAGAGCTGTTAAAAAGTATATATGCGGTAATTTTGTACATCAGGTTCCCAAGTACCTAATGCCATGTTTGTAAGGCAGCACTCACAGGTAGGCTGCCTGTAGTTTGATGGTGGAGCACTTGGTGGGGTAGATTGGGATTACAACCATTTTCAGTATGAAAACTCTGACCATCTGAGCTAATGCTTTGGCTCCAGTGTTGTTGCTGAAAGTGGTTCTTCTTTCTCCTCCTTCAAGAAGAAATGAGTGAGCCTTTTCAATTCGGATACAGTAATTTTAGAAAGTATTTTGTGGTCTCAATACCCTGTAGAGGTTATCCTCCTCCTCTACTCTGCCCTGGTGAGGCCACATCTGGAGTTCTGTGTCCAGTTCTGGGCTCCCCAGTTCAAGACAGACAGGGAACTACTGGAGAGAGTCCAGCGAAGGGCTATGAGGATGATGAGGGGACTGGAGCATCTCTCATACGAAGAAAGGCTGAGAGAGCTGGTCTGATTAGACAGGAAAAGAGAAGGCTGAGAGGGGATCTGATCAACACTTATAAATATCTAAAAAGTGTGGGCCAAGAGGATGGGGCCAGACTCTTTTCAATGGTGCCCAGTGACAGGACAAGGGGCAATGGGCACAAACTAGAACACAGGCAGTTCCATCTCAATATAAGGAAAAACTTCTCTGAGGGTAACCGAGCTGAACAGGCTGCCCAGAGAGGCTGTGGAGTCTCCTTCTCTGGAGATATTCAAAACCTGCCTGGACATGATCCTGGGCAACCTGCTCCAGGTGACCCTGCTGTAGCAGGGGGGTTGGACTAGATGATCTCCAGAGGTCCCTTCCAACCCCTGCCATTCTGTGAATCTGTGATTCTGTGGAGAGGGCCACTTGCCACTTGTTTGGGGCTGAAGTGCCTACTTCTTGAGAGAGAAGTTACGACCCATCTCATCACCTGTCTTTGCTATTCATTGTCTCTTAGTCAATACCCCAAATGCTTCATTCTCCCTGTGCACTGTCTGGGAGTCATGGTCCCTAACACACTACTCTGGATCCCACTTCCTGGCTGAGTTCTGCATTTCTCCCCGGAGTGGAGCTGTTTTGCTAGATTTAAGCTTCTATTTACTAGCAATTGGTTCTCTTTGTTATATCTTCATAACAGACTGGTTCTGGTCAGCACAGGATAATGGACTGGCATTTCTTACACAACTGTTACCATAAGTAGCATATGTATTGTCTTGTTATGATAGCAGCTGATGAGTTAATTTTATTTTGAATTTGATTAATTTGAATTTTGTGTGAATTCCCACTAAACATAATTCACACAACAGCATCAGGAATGAAATACTGTTTCCACTAAATTCAGTTCCATTTTTGACCATGATTGATTCAAATCTAGGGCTAGAAATTGATGGTGTGATCAGAAGAGCAGGAATCTCTGCTCTTCGATGTGACTTTTGCTTCTGGCTTTGGTGCTTGTGAAATGATTCAGTATGAAAGCAAAATCTTAGGTATGCAATTCTATTGGGGAGAGATTAGAGCTTTTTAACAATTATTACAACATGCATTTCCTCTTTCTTTAGGATCTGCATAAAACCAAAAACTCATTCCTGTTTTGCAATCAAATACTATCTTATTGCTAAATCAGCCTTTGGACAAAAAAAACCAAAAAAATAAACCAACCAACCAACCAAAAACAAAAACAAAAAACCCAAACAACGGAAAAGTGGAAAATTAGTTATGTTTGTTAATCAAAATAATCTCCTATATCAGTCCAGAAATTTGCAGCATTTAGTTTGCAGCATTTAGTTTACCTCCCATCATGTAGGTATTTTTAAAGTAGTATATTAATATTCTTCATCTTAAAACTGTAAAGAGGGAAATGTTCAATCTGAAAATACTGCTGAGAATATGTTCTCATCAGTGTTGGATGAAAACATTTCTTTATATAAAATATACTTATGAAGTGAACCCTGTGTTGGTTTTCAATCTGACTTCAAAAAACAATGATGCGATGCTACCCCCTCTGTATCACAGAGGGTGAAGAAACCCATTTACATTCTGATTTAACTCAACCTCAATCATAAAAACATCCCTTGTAACTTTCTGTCGTATAAACTTTCTGTTTTCTTACTATCTCATATTTAGATGCTAGGAAATCTCATACACGTGCTTAGGCAGACAGACAGACAGACAGACACACACACAAGTATGTAAAATGTATTTGAAGCAGAAGGTATGTGAGTTACTCTGAAAGACAGCAAGGTATTCAGTGGCTATTGTGTTGCTTCTGTAATTTTGCTGGCTCTCTTCATTAGGGCTGACTTTAATGCTTAATAGAAAAGTACATTTCCTCCATTACATGTGTAAAATGTATTATTTTGATTTATATTTCCTAGTGGCACTGTATTTTGTCAATTGTATCTAGGCATTATGTATTAAATAAAGGAATTTCTGCTGGGATTATCTGTATTCAGGTGATCATGATCAGACTCTAACTGCTTCACGAACAGTTTTGTGATGGAAGAAGCAGTAATACCTTTGTAACAGCCTCATCATTAAAATCTTTTCATCTGAAATGAGACATCAGCACCCAATTCGCAGCTGAGGAAAATTAAGTCTCTTTCTGGGTAAGGACATGGTGTTCATTCCCTTTCCATCGGAGCTAGGACATGGCAGAGTGAAGAAATGAACGCTGATTGGACTAGAGGGAGAAAGCACACATTTTAGCCTTACAACACCCTCATCTGAAAGGGGGCATACTGGGTTCCAGTTTTTTTCTTTCAAGATTGTTTATATAGTTTATCTAAAGATTGTTTTGAATTAAATGTGTCAAGTCTTTTGAGACAAATACGCAGGACTAGCTGCTCCTTATGCAGTATTTAAGCTACAAAGCTGTAAAGTCCAAGCCACTACTTCTCCTGTCTTGCCACAGTGAGTCTTGAATTCTTCAAAAGGAAGATTTTCTCCAGCTGTCTCACCTGTTTGTGAGGTGAGAGAATGGGCTGCTTGGAGAGACAGGCAGGACTCAGCATTTTCAGGCTGTTGTGGGAATCGCATCCTGCTACTCTGAGCTAGAAGTCAGCTCAAGCTAGTAATAGCGAAGACGGATGGAAGCAGCACCACCATCCCCAAGACGGTGCCTTAAAAGAGTGAGCACCATTGAGTTCATTCAAAAAAATTACCATGGGTGTCTTTCCACCAGGGAAAATACTTGGATTCAAGCTGGTGAAGATAACTGTCTGCACCTCATGTTGAGGCCCTTCAATGGTAGCATGGGGTCAGGAATTTTACTGTTGACTTTTCCAAGTTCCCTGATCAACATACTAATGTTTCAGACCACATGCTGAAGTCATTCAGTCTCCCATGAAGTGTGCAGGGGGTCTTAGACATCACTTAGAGGGCACAGATTTCTACTCTGCAGTGGAACATCTGAAGTTAGATAATGCCTTATTGAATTTTTTGACTCCTACCTCCATTCCTGGCTGTAGCTTTTAATGTTTAGTTAATGGAGGGAAGAAATGTTTCCCTAGTAACTTAGAAGAGATTTGTCAGCTATAAAAGCACACAGGAAAACT